GTATGCTGGAATTTCTCTTTGGAAATAGCTTCAGGGTTTTCAGTCCTGTGTCCAAACTGTACTTTTATCATATTGGCTCTCTGGAGAATTTTTCATTTATAATTGAGAAAACTTTCCTTTCCCTCTAACAACAACAATAACAACAATAATAATAATGCAAAATGTAATTTAATGGAAGGAAAGATGTGAGATTTATGGCTCAAAGTATTGAAATAGGACTCAGACTATAGGTCTGTATTGATTTGCTGCACTAATATGTCTGTGGCATTGAGCAAAGTAATTGTTATTTTTGTGCCTCAGTTTGCTCATTTGTAAAACAGGAATTCTAAAACTATTTACTTCATGGGAACTTTTTGGAATGTTTTATTATGAGTTTTAATGGCCCTTGGGTGCATTGGGTGGTAGATGTTGTGTAAATTGCAACACACTATTGTTCCCATTTGTCTTCTTTGTCATGGGAGTTTCTACAGAAAGAAAGTCTTTCTGTAGAAGTCTTGCAAATGTGAATTATCCTTAACAGTAACCAGACCCTTGCGTTGGACAGAGTCAGAGGAAATATTCTGTAACAGTTGTTTCCAAGAGCTATATTTTATGTCAGTGGATAGTTTTAGATCTACAAACCTGGAATAAACCCAAAAGTTTTCTTCGTAACAGAATAAGAATGGTGAATACTGTATTCTATTTCTGCAGGTGTGAGAAACCGGCTGTAATAATTTTGTATTCAGTGGTGTAGCCATATACTCATAGAAATGGAAGAATGTAATTTATGATATTCAGCTCAAGAAAAAGTATCATCTAGATATGTCATTGAGGCAATTTTTACAAAATGGTTTTATGTTAAATATTCTGAAGCCCAAAGCCATTAAAACTGCAACCTTAATTATCTTGTCCAGCACTGATGTAGATCTCTTCTGAGATCATTAAATAATGTTTATAATGCACTATTGAATATTATAAACAGTTTTCTTTTTCAAGGGATTGATCATTTTCCCTCCTTTTTCATGAATGAATCATCTTGCAGATCCTAGGTAGTTGTTCATCAGGAGACTCAGACTCAGTAAATGGGCATATGGGTGCAGTCAGTTGCCGCTATAACATTAGAAAAATCTAGCAATCCTAACAAATCATTCTCATGTGTTGCAGGTGCTGCCTATTAGAAGAAAATATGTACTTGGATATTCTTTAATTAAAGTTTTGATTTTTTTAATTATTATTCTGAAAAGAACTGAATTAGAAATTCTACACCTGAGTGTTCTGTGAAGTCAGAAAATATTAATGGCCAGTATGTCAATGCTACCAATATTTGTACATGCACATGTGTGATACACGGGTGTCGTGTGCTCTTGTAAGTCAAACTTCACCGTTTACAAGGCTCAAAGCTTCCACTTCATGACAGAACATCCTCTTTAAGTAATCCTTTTCTTCTCTTTCTGCTTAATCTTCTTTCTTTCCCCTCTTGAGTCTGTTTTGCTCTGCGCATTATGTGCTATTTCAATAGACTGAGATGACCCCAGTGAGAATAAGCTTAAATTGGATAAACACTTCAATACACAGCAACATACTCAATTTTGTGTCCACCTTCTGAAGATGAAATTGATATTGTTAGACCACCTTGATCATGAATAATGCAGGCACTTAAAATTTCAATGCCAAAAATAGGCAAGGAGAACACCTTCCTGGAAAATATGTAAATGCTTTGTATTACAAATTTAGTATTACATATAATACCTTTTTAGAAAAGGGCATTATATTGCTGGAAATTCACATTGAAAAGAAGCTAGGAGTAAATGGCTTATAAAAATTCCTGGTTAGCATGAAAATAATTTTTACATTAGGGGCTCATTAACATCTAAGTCTTGGTACATATATGTAGTTTCCGTATTGGTTTCTAATTCATAGAATCATAGTATATCTCAAGTTAAAAGGAACCCATAAGGATCATTGACTCCAACTCCCTGCTCCTCACAGTACTGCCTAAAACTTAATCATATGGCTAAGAGCGTCATCCAAACACTCCTTGAACACTGACAGGCTTGATGCCATGACCAGTTCCCTAGGGACCCTGTTGCAGTGACTCACCACCCTCTCAGTGAAGAACCTTTTCCTAATGTTCAGTCTGAACTTCCCCTGGTACAGCTCCATTCCATTTCCTCGTGTCCTGTTGCTGGTCACCAGAGAGAGGAGATCAGCATCTCCCCCTCTGCTGCCTCCCTTGAGGAAGTTGTAGACTGGGATGAGGTCACCCCTCAACCTTTTCTTCTCCAAGCTGAACAAAACAAGTGGCCTCAGTTGTTCCTCATAAGGAGATCTTGGCCTCGAGGCCTTTCACCACCTTGGTTTCCCTCCTCTGGACACACTGTAATAAGTTTATATCCTCCTAAGATTGAGATGCCTAAAACTGCACATGGAACTCGAGTTCCATGGGGCACACCAGTGCGGTGTAGAATGGGACAACCAACTCCCTTGACTGGCTTGCTATGCTGTGCTTGATGCAGCCCAGGATACTGTTGGCCCTTCTGGGTGCCAGGGCATGCTGTTGACTGATGGTCAACTTGCCTTCAACTCATCCCCCCCAGGTCTCTTTCTGTGGGGTTGCTCTCTGCCTCTTGTCTGCCAGTTTGTACATATAACCAGGATTACCCTGTCCCAGCTGCATAATACAGCACTTGCTTTTGTTAAATTTCATACAGCTGGTGATTGCCCAGCTGTCTAGTCTATTTAGATTTCTCTGTAAGGCCTCTCTGGCCTTGAGGGAGTCCACAGCTCCTCCTAATTTTGTATCAGGAGCAAACTTAATGTACATTTGATTCCTGCACCCGGATCATTTATAAAAGCATTAAAGAGCATTCGCCCTAAAATTGAGTCTGGGGGACTGATGACTGGCCACCAACCTGATGTAATCCCATTTACTGCAACTTTTTGAGCCCTACTGGATTTCCTTGGTCAACTAGGTGGGTGACCTTGCTATAAAATGAAATTAAGTTGGTTAAGTAGGACTTTTCACTTGTGAACCCATACTGGCTATGGCCAATGACTGCATTGGCTCTTAGATGTTTTTCAGTAACTCCCAGAAAAACTTTCTCCATGTTTTTACCAGGCAGTTGATACTGTCCCCTGTATTTTCACCAGGCTGGGGAATTAGAGAGGGTGAAGGGTTGCAGGTTGGTTGCATATGGTCAGCTTTTTAGAAAGCAACACTATAGTTATATGGATAATAGCATGAAAACTAGAGTTGTCCCATGCCAGTTGCCTCAGTGCTGAAGAACAAACTCAGAGACGTTTATCAGTGCAGATAAAGCACACCTGTGTTAGGACATATCTGAACTGGTGATAGCAGTGCTCTGTGCAGGCAATGGTGTTTCAGGTGTTGAAAGCAGTTTAGCTGAAACAGTGTGGAGCCACATAACTTTTAGCATGGATTTATCAGACTAAAGGGCTTTAATCTGTCTCCTTCCCTTCCCATTAAAACCATCCAGTGCAGAGTAAATACTTCCAATTTTGTGATGTTTCAGTGGTCTCACAACAACACTCTTTTCCCCACAGCTGGGCTGGATTGAACCTGCAGTGGAACCTACCATTTAAAAACACTGATACACTTGTAGTGTGGATGAGATTCATCTGGCTTGATGAATACGTCTCCATCCAGAGCAATCACCTTCAACTTCATTTGTAGTCACTAGAAGGAAATAGAAACTCTTGGATGCAATTCATTTCACAGTAAAGTAATTGTCTAAAATAAGTCAGGAGACTAGTGCTCAGTAAATTCCCTTTTTTTCCCAATTGATACATATAAAAGACTCAAGCGTGACTAGTTCAGAAGTAGATGTACAATGGAGCTATCTAAACTTTGGTTAGATGGCTTTCACATTTTTTTTCTGTTGGCTTATTCATAAGTCTTTATTTTTAAATGTAACTCATATTACCTAAGTTTCAAGGCAGATCTGCACTGGTGTAATAAATATAATTATTATTATAATTATTTGCACTCTCCACTAAAGTTAGAATGCTGCAGAGAGGAGGTGACCAGCTGTCTGTGCTTCTGAAAACAGGAAGAATTCACTCACTTCCATCGTAAAGGATCTTCCTGAGTGTTATGAAACTATAGCGGTAACTGAAATCTATTCTAGGCTGTTTCTCTGCACCAGGAGACCATTATCATGATAATTTAACACCTGTATCACTGATTTTTGGTAGTGCAACCTGTAATCAGAGTCTGAAGTGATCCCTGAAGCTGTTATAATTTAGATTACGGTTTAATATACAACAGTACTGGTTCTGAGCATTTGGATCACAGAATGTGGAACACCTCACTAAACAATGATTGCAATAAGTAGAATTTATCATAAAGGAGGGTAATATCATAATTCTATAGTCTTGAAATGTAGCCAGGCTTGACTGAGCTCATTTCTTGAGCAGGATAGCCCATTTTTGGCAGTGTGATAGCATACAGGATGCTTTCATGAAACATCTTTCTGGTAGTTTTGTTTAGAACAGGCCCAGTAGGCACTGCTAATTTACCTTCAGGCCATGGTTTTGAATGGCAGTCAGTATAACTCAGGAGACGGAGTAGTCCCACGAAAAGAAAGTTTTATCAATGAGACATCTCAGATATTACACATGGGGAAAAATAACACAGCCAAGCAGAGCTGTCAACACTCTGCTCTGTACCTTCCACCTCTACTATCTCACCAATACTGACAAAGTCTGGAGGACAGTAGGCACAGCATAGATGCTCATAAAGCTTTCTGTCACAAGAGATAAGGAATGAGAAAGTACCTATTCTCCCTGCTTATTCCTTTGGAGCTGGTTAGGAAAGGGACATTAAGTCATATCTCCTAAAATGATTGTTTCTGTGCTGACAACGTTACCAGCAATGTAGATTTTGTTTCTTCTATAATGTGATCTTGCTCTTGTTTTAGGAAAAACAATGCTTGGAGATTTTCATTCTTTTTTTAGCTGTCTCCTCCTTAGTGAAACTGCTGCCTATGCTAATTTTGCAGGTCCATAAAGCCCTGGGACCGCCTAGAAGAACTGGCAGCTGAACTATGAGTTATGTTCAGGTAAAAAAAAACTCTTGGTTGTTGCACTTATTCATTGTGATAGGTTCCAGGTCAACCATCACATAACATCTCTGCTACAGGATAATAAAAGAGGAAAGGTAAACAGCTCATTTGTTTTTTTGTTTTTTTGTTTTTTTTTTTCTGGACAGACTGAATGTTTGAAATGGAAACACTGTGAAATTTGGTTTCTTTTGACCTCCTGCTTGACTTCTGAACAGCTTAAGAAAAGATAAGGAGTATAGCCACATTTATGTTTCCCTGGGTGAACACTCAGATCCCCTGGGTGAAGGTTTCAAGCATCATTGTCATTGTTCAAAGGTGGTTCTGCCACACTGCAGATCCATCTGACACATGAATCCTGATGAGACCAGTGATATTCAGATGCCTAAGTAATCAAAAGTTTCTGGACCTTACTGACTTGTCCTAGCCCTCTTCCACTGCTCAGTGAAGTCAGAAGAAATTTGTCACTGAAATTTAATAATAGTTCAGATAGATAGATACATTCTCAAGGAGGAAGTTCTAAAGTTTCCTGGCTGGACAAAAGCCCAAGGCTTAGTATCGAAAGTTATGGCTAATGCATTTTACTGTCACCAGAATACTTAAAATCTCTTTCCACAACAATCTTGTTCATCTACACCTGTAAGTGAGCTGTCTTATTGACTAGCTTTCTAGTGATAACACTCACTGCACGCTCAAGTTTGTGCTAAAGCTGTGGGGAATCAACTAGTCACATCATGACATTACCAAGTCATTCTGAGCTGAAGTTCATGCTGAAGTTCATACTGCATTTCTTAAAAAAAAAGAAAAGCAGAATTTTTTTGTCAGTAAGCCTAGCAAGCTTCTCTGGACTGTGTCAGTCCAACTGTGGTCTAAACACTCAATGTTTTTCATTATATTAGAAGCCTGGCAATAGAAGTTCTTCCTTATCAAATTATCTCGACAGTTTAGGCACCTCCAAATTTAGGTGGTAGCTGTTAAGAGATTTGTAAATTATGAATAGTCTGAACTAAGGTCCTTAAAGTTCTACAGTTTGTGGATCTGGCAGCTTATGTGCCTGAGTCCGATTTTTTTGCGTTTAACACTTGTTGTGTCATTTCAGATGAGAACAATCAGAAGCAATGATGGCTTCATAAAGATTTTGCTATTTGTGCATTATAAAATATTAGTGTCCTGCCCAATTAGGAAAAGCATTCCTTTTGTAATTTCTATAGATAAGTTGCTTGAATCTGTCTCTGATGAATGCAGGAAAGAGCTGGCTTTTATATCACATTACCAGCAAAGTAGTAGCAAATAATCCAGTTTTATTTTATTGTTCAGACTTTTCCAAATCAATCCCAAAATAAATATTTTGGTGTTTGAAATGACTTCAGCAAAGCTTGACATGGTAATAATGACTCACACTTGTGTTAGTTATTCCCTAACCAGGCCCTTAGCCATATTATTTGCATTTTGTCTTTGCTCACAACTATCCTTCTTATGTTCTTGTCTACACTTGCTGTTGCAAAGAAAGGAGGCTATCTGTATTCCCAACATTCCGGGACAGAATAAAGGAGTAGACACTTCTGCACAAAGCTCCTTTGAGCTATTTAATATACTTTCTGACAAAAGGAAAGATGACATTGAACACTCAACAAAGAACAAAAATTATTTCTTAAAACATGAAATACAAATGATAATTCAATCATTCGGAAAAATTCTATTCATTTCAGTAAAAATTCCATCCTGCATTCTTCATTATAGTTTGTGAACTGACCACTGTTGTAGTGGGGTGCAACATTTATGTTCCATTTTGGTTTTGGTTTTGGTTTGTTTACAGGCAAAAAAATCTGCTTTAAATTGTAGATGAAAAGTTCCCTTCTTCCTTCGATTTTATTATTATTAATTAGAAAAAGTTCCTTGGCTCAGGAACAAATTGGAAATTTTCAGTGGGAACAAAACAGAATAAAACTGTTATTCCTACTCTACCAAAAACTTGTACCCTCCCTTTATTTTTATATTTTTTAATAATCCATTACTTCCTATTAATGAAGATAGCACCATATTGAAAGAAAGTAAGTTAAAACAATGAGTAACAACTAACAAAACCCTGGAGTGTCTGGCTTTTTATAACCTTCAAGTACTAATTCTTCTAAATGTAGCCACACTCGGTGCTATTTGTAACTTCAGGTTTTTGTCAACTGGAAGTTTGAATATGGACTATTTGGATTTACGAGAACTATAAAGAGACCAGGCAGATCACACAATGGCATATTCCAACAGGTAAGCTTAGATGTGGCCTTAACTTTTTCAGTTAGGTGTCATTTGAACAAGAGTTGTTAGACACAAAGCTGAAATACTTTACCAACATTTTTGTGTTGACCACATAGAGGTTCAAAGCAAGCCTTTGGAGAATCTGTTATCCATTACCTACCACATCACCTAACAGAATTAATAGGAAGCATTATTGGCATCTGTATTTAGAAAAAATAAAAAAGAGAAAGAAAAAAAAATCGGCTCTCAACATAAGTGCAACCTCAATGGTCACAAACTACACAGATTATCTTGCACATACATAGACTGAATTATGTGAAAGGTTCCTCTCCTGACAAATACTACTACATGAATAGGTGACTCGTGACCTTCATCTGCATTAATTTGAATCTATCCTTTCATAAAAACAGGAGAAAAGGAAAATTGGAGATTGAGGAACCCTATTGTGTGTTGTTGTACTTCAACATCTTATTGAGTGGAAATCTAATTGGGGAGACATATGACATAGTCTCAAAATGCTTTCATCCACATAAATTCTTGTTTGGGGGGGAGATTGTCACTAAAAATAAACCAGATACCACTTGTTGCAGAGTGGATGGAATAGAAGATTGCCTCTGCTAGCATTTCTTTTTTATTAGTTAGAAACAGAGACAGAATTCTCTGTAACGGACTTTTCCCTGCAACATTTAGATGCACATTAATATATCCTTATACTGAATTGCAGGAAAGATCACAAGTAAAAGTGATCACTTATGAGTCCTCACTCATAGGACAGGTGTGTCCTCTGTGTACTGGTGATTGTGGCACTCATGTGCCATTACATCTTCCTGCTGCAAAATTTCTAGGAAATGCTTCTGATCTTCCAGTCCAAAACAGTTCTACCTTGAGTTCATTTTGCAGACACAGCACTTGGCGTTTGACTATTATATACCAGCTAAAACATTCTTCTGATGAATTTCCTTAGCTTTGCAATAGTTGTGCAACCCACTCACCTAGCATAACATTTGTTTAACTAATGTATACAGTGACTCAGCAGTAAATATAGTAAGTTTAGAGTGGCTGACCAGGTCATGAGAATTTTCTTTATCAAGAGGGTTTAGAGTCAAAATTGCAAGTGAGATGGAGCTGAGACTATGGGACTAGAAGAAGGGAAAGTGTGACTCTGTGCAGGTAGCAAAACAGATGAAATGCTGAAGGGGAAGGCATCCGTAAGCTTCATCATCCCCTTTGTTTTGGGATTTCAGACCCTGTCTATCTTGGGAAATAGTTCCCTCCTCCCACTTTTCCATGCAAACTGATATTCAGGGAATTTGTTGCATTCTCCTTGTTTCATATGTCTCCAGGGTATCACACGTGTTTTCTGAGACGCTCAGTCCTCCTTACATAAATTGGAATACTTATGTCTCAGAAAGCAGGACTTGTAAGATGAGGGAGGTTGCCATTTCAGTCTACATTACAGATTCTCCCAGCTCAACTATGGAGACAGACATGGGTGAACAGTTTTCCTATGTTCTGTCTTCAGTATTGGGATGCTTCCAATCAGACTTCATTGCCTGCTTGGAAGGTCTTGATTTGGTGTTCTTCACAATGATTTGGGCCCATTCAGTGATCCATATCTGGCTTAATTTAAAGATTCTAGTTTTTTAAATATATAAATCCAGGCTGACTTTTCTTTGCATCGCTATTGAAATGATATAAAGTAAAATACATTGATTTAATTTGACAAACAGAAACTAATGTTCTAAGATTTTGAGATACAGAGTATCAGGAAAAGAAAAAAATGGTTATGCATGCATAAGTTCTGAAAACTTGCTAACTGGAGCATTTGTCATGTTCAGGGGAGAATCAAGAAACATTTTCTTCTTCTGTTGTTTGGGGTTTTATTTTCTGCCTGAATGTAGGCTCTGAGATAAATACATGCCTTGCTTGGTCCAGTGTTAACAGAAACCTTCACACCCCCTTCACCTTCTTCCCCATCCTACATGAACTAGAGCATTTCCTGTAGAAACCCTGTGTGTGGAATTCAGGCTAGATTAAGAGAGGTATGCTTAAGTGTAGAAATAGATGTTTAAACTAGCTGTCCAAGCTATCATTGTGGTGGATGAAGTCCTAGAATGGGACTTGCTTGTCCAAACATAGACACTTTGTTCTTCTGAGATGCACTAGGATTATTTGAGATATCCTGAATGGGGTAGTAGAGATGACCCATGAATTTAGGAAGACACATTCTTTGGTGCTCAGTTGGCAGTAGACACTGACGTTTCTGAATCTCATGCTTTTGACTGTTTATGTGACTCATTCTCTTGACTTCGTTAATTCTATTGAGCAAGAGAAAGTGTCTTAATCTTGAAAGGAATGTCACCTTCAAACTCTTGATTTAGTAGCCCAGACTACATAAAAGATATTAAGGACATATTGGACACTTATGACCTTCTGGAGAAACACTTGGAAGACATATATATATATGTATATATAGGCATATATATATATACACACCTTACATATTCATAAGTGGCATATGTCAGGATGATTAACTGGATATATTTTTTTGAAGTCAAGAGTTAAAGTTCCATGTAGTATCTTTTCACCTACCAGAACATTCCAAAATTATTTTGAAAAAATAGTGCTAAAAAATGGGGAAAAAAATAGCATAGATTTAGTTCTGCTTCCTTTAAATTATGTTCCAACATGCTACACGCAAGTTTATGTACACTCTGTTTTTGTACTGAACAAGGGTTACTAGTGCTTGT